TAACATAAAAATGAGAAATAGAAACAGCATTTTTAATCATTTCTCAATTGTAATAGTCCTCTTATCAGAGAAGAACTAAGAAATTAACAAAAATGGAGCGTAATAAACAAATGAAAGAGTTCCAAATACCTTCCAACTGACCAGTGGTGTACAACAATTTGTTGCTATTGTAAATGGGAAAATTGGAAAAGACACTGTCCCCCTCCCAAAAAAAACGACCTGTCTGAGCGTTTTTTCGGATTTGCAAGATTAGNAAATTAGTACCCAAAACCTCCATGTCAAGTTTTCGATAGCCTACCCTCAGTCTTCCATTACTTTTGAATGTTGAAAATTTCAAAATGGACGTGAAAAAATATTTTTTTCAGCTAATCAGTAGTGAGAAGGTGGTAACTTGGTGTGGTTTTGTTAACTACCCAGTGAAAACCTCACAAGAAAGTTTCATTTATATATGGATTCTTTTCAAGCATAGGCCAATTCAATCAATGACTAGTTGATTGAGAAAAAATTATCTCCTTGTAATTGTGCTTATCCTTCATTGATTACTGTCTTTGGAAAGTTCCCACATTTTTCTTAAAATTATGGACAAGTAGAAACTCATAAAAAATTCTTTTCTCAATTGAATGATACTTATTTTTCAACCCTCATCATTTCGGTACATTATCAACTACTGTAGCCCAGATTAACCCCAGAAATGCCCGGCCTGGCCTAGAGATGGCAGCAGTTGTTCAAAAAATATCACTGTTTTAAAAATTACACAATCTATAAAGCATATGNTTTTTCTAGAGGTGATTCCGAATCGAATGAGCTATCGCTTATATTTTTAGGACCTTTATCTCTGTTTTTCATATTTTTTGAGCTTGTTGATTAGACTATAAATCATTTTGAACAGAATATTATGGTTTTATTCCTGTTGGCAAATACTGATATCAGTATTCAAAACAGCTGATTCACTAGCCTATTCAAAACTTATTATACGGTCAATTTAGACATCTGAGGGTACAAAAAAAAAGACTCAACTCTGTTCAATCATTCGGAGAATTTTCAGATGTGTCGAATCTATTACTTTCCAAGCATTCCAAAATATTAAGTTCCGAACCTCTTCTCTTTCAAATGTAATACTTTGAAGTTATGGCTGAGCTCTGCCACAAAAAGGGTTCGCAAATGTGGAATTGGAAAACTTTAAAAAATCACTTTTATGTTCCTTTATTCTTTGGGAGAACATTCGTTCCGTTTGGCCAATAAATAGCTTTTGTCACATCTATTTACATCTTCATAAAGAGTTTATTTCGAAAGTGAATGTTTGGCACATTTTTTGTTCAAATGTGAGGAAGTTAAAAGCCAAAATGTTTCTTTCCAGATAATCCTCTAAACATGTACCACATTTCATTCATTTGTCTACTAAATATCGCTTCCCATGCTCTCACGGTTTGCAAAATACCCGAACAGAATCAATTCCGTCAAAAAATACACGAACGAAATTCATTAGCATATAACAATGCAATCCCGCGCCATTAACTTTATTTTTATTAGCCGTAAACAAATGGATGTTCATGGGAATACAAAACGCCGCTTTCCGACGACTCAATCAGCCCAAAAAACTCGTCGGGATAGGCATTCGATAGGCGTACAGGCACGCGCCTTCTACTAGCAATTCGAACCGCGATAATCACGTTGGCTATGCTGCCGCATTCTCATGCCTCATCTACCGGCGATTATGCCTTTTTTGGTGTGCGAACTCGTTTCTCATTCGTCGTTCATTGAAAGCGGAGATGATTCGTTACTGTATACGAGGGGTGGTTTGGGAATAGTGTGTAAGCTCATAAGAACCAGTGGAAAGTAAAGATTTAACTGTATTCATTCCGAACCAATCATATGTTTAAGTTAGATTAGGTTAGGTTAGGTTAGGTTAGGTTAGGTTAGATTAGGTTAGGTTAGGTTAGGTTAGGTTAGGTTAGGTTAGGTTAGGTTAGTGAAAGGAAGGATTTGACTGTATTCATTCCGAACCAATCATATGTTTAAGTTAGATTAGGTTAGGTTAGGTTAGGTTAGGATAGGTTAGGTTAGGTTAGGTTAGGTTAGGTTAGGTTAGGTTAGGTTAGTGGAAAGTAAGGATTTGACTGTATTCATTCCGAACCAATCATATGTTTAAGTTAGATTAGGTTAGATCCAAAGTCAGTGAGTTTTTTCGACCCTCCACCGCAACCCACAAGGCTTTATTGCGGCTCACACCTATTCACGATGTAGGGTTCAATCTCAGGGTTTCTTGAAAGGGGTTGCTGCTGATCCAATGAGACACAGAATAGGGTGCGAAACAGTCTATTTTCGGTTCGAGGGGGAGACAGAGAACTTATTTGGTTGTTGACTTAGTTCTAAAATAATTACAAATGTTTTAATAAAATTGTGGAAAGTAGTTAATGAAAACTTCACACACGTGTTACATCATTTATAGTAATAAAAATCATAACCCACCTAAAATAATTACAGGCACGGGACTCGACGATTAATCTTGTCCTTAAGGACCACAGTAAGATAATTTAGAATGGAGTTTACTTTAAAAAGCAAGCAAGAAAAATCTTTGAACAATCGAGCAAATATGGCGCATCAAAAACGTTTTCACTCAGGTCTCTAGAGACAAAAAAGAATCTCGACAGTCGTTCATAAAAAACCCGACATTGGAAATACTTTGCAGATGCAAAAACCCGTCAAAGTGAAATATTGGTTGCCTGTCCCGGAGGGCATGAGAGCCGTTGCTACTTATGATTAAGGGTGGTAGAAAACTGTAAACAACAGGAATCGGCTCCAGTAGATGAACAAGGCGGATTCTGGCACACTTGGGAGTGAGGGGAGACGTCATCGAAATCGACGCAGGATGGAACGAGTATCGTAGCGATTTGAGCGTGGAACTCCGCCCCTCGGCCCCCTTGGTACTCCACCTAAACCATCGGCCCCCTTGGCCGATAGGTTAGGTGGATAAGTTACCGAGAAAATTCACCAGATGGCGAAACGATACAAGTTAAAATGGAAATAAATCAAATAGATGTGTTTTGTCACAACACTCGACCAAATGAACCAAGCTTCTCAACGAAGCCGATTAGTTAATATGGTGAATGGTCTTTCACGTCAAATGTTAGACTGTTAGACATCGTAGTTCATCCCTACTATAGTCCAACAACTGTTTGCTATCAAGCTTCGGAGGGTGAATAAACGCCTTGGAGTAAGCGAATTCTGGAAGATTCTGCCAGAAGTCTGGCCAGGAATTCAGACCTGAGATAATCTGTTAAGTCTTTCTTTTGAAGAGAGTCATTTTTTGCAATTTGCTACCAATTTAGACGTTGCTCGGTGGGAGTCAAGAGCCTCCGACGCCGCTTGTCTGTCCGAGAATATTTTCATTGACTTGTGTGTGATGTTGGATTTATCCAATCTCTCCGCACACAATTCAATAGCGTAAATTTCTGCTTGAAATACAGTCGCATAAGTTCCTAGGCAGAAAGGACATGAATAGTGCCATCGCTCGCTATTGTCCTGGCCGGAGACCTTTCAATGGAGGATCTTCCCTCTATCCATCGCCACCACTGTATTTCCAAAATAAAACTTTACATTCTATTACATATGTAGTGAATTACAATAATACTAAATAAGAATAATGATCAAAATAAATAAACATGTCTTCTGTTGTTTGTGTACATGGCCCGATGCCCGAACAATATCCCTGGCCGCCACCATTGCTATCTCTCCATTTTCTCGCTCCTTGCATTTTCTCCATTCACGCCATCCAGTCCTATCTCCATCCATGCATCTTTCTATCACGTGTTCCGCCATTTCGGGCTCAACATAGCCGCAAAAACATGGTAGTTCCGGGCCCAGGTTAAACCTGGCAAGGTATCCCGAAAAGTTACCATGTCCCGTAAGCAGCTGGGTGGCCTTCCGCGACAGATTCAGTGATTCACTCTTGACTGTCATGCAGAATATGTAGAACAGCCGCCCAGTCTCTCCCGTGTCCCATTCCCTCTGCCACTCTGTCCTGATTCGTTATTTAATCCTCTTCCTCTCTTCATTCTTACTCACTACTTCCCATGTGTCATCAGCGTTCCTCATACTTTTTGTTGCCTCCTCGTTGGCTTTCTTATTTCCAAGATTGTTGTTCTCATGGCCGCGCTTGCAGATTGAGCAGGTCCATAAGAACAGTGCGCTTTTGTGTAAAACTTTTTCCAAGTAAGCGTTCCAGGTGAGTTTTTTATCAAAGACAAAACCAAGATATTTCACCTCCGTTCCAAATGGAATGACCTCACCATTTAGGGGTTCTGTAATGAAAGACACACTTATGTAGAGTTTGAACATTGAAACCTTACGCATACATCTTCAATTCGTACATCCCATACACGTCTACAAACCGTACGCCAATGAAATGCAAGATCTGCCGCTGTATGTAAGAGTGTGCAGGAGAATCAAAGGCAGTCGATTCTGCGTTACTCACAAGAGCTCGGCCTAGTTTTCATCAAAAATAATTTTCAGCGATGTAGCCCAATGCATCCCGAGAAAGTCACTGTTTGGTGTTGATTTTGGGCTGGCGGCGTCATTGGCCCATATTTCTTTGAGAACGACATTGGTCAGGCCATTGCTGTCAATGACGAGAACTATAGGTTGATGATTACCAACTTGTTTTTGCTTGAATTGGATGATATGTACACCAGCGACATGTGGTTTCATAGGATGGTGCTACGTACCTCACAGCTCACAGCTGTGTTGAATATTCTACATCTCACGTGGAGGTGATATGAAATGACCACCGTGATCATGGCAATTTGCCACGGTAGCCTTCATCTTGTGAAGTCGCAGGTGTTTGCGAATCAGCTAGAAACCACAGCGGTTCTCAAACCAAATATAAATTTTATGATAGGAAGCGCTCACTTAAAAACCTCAAATTATTACGTGTTCATTCATGTATAGCTCTTTGGTACTTTATCTATCTATTTTTCTGATTTCTTTTCTCTTTGTTCCAGGTCTGGTTCAAGAACCGCCGTGCAAAATGGCGGAAGCGTGAGCGAAACGCAATGAACGCCATGAACGCCGCCGCCGAATTCAAGACAGGTTTCGGCACCCAATTCAACACCCTCATGCCCACCATCAGCGATGACAGCTTCTACTCGTACTCGACGTACAACAACTGGGCTACCAAAGTCCCCAGCCCCCTGGGTACGAAACCCTTCTGGCCTGTGGTGCCGACCAACCACCACCAGAGCCCAGTGAACTGCTTCAATGCCGCGGGAGCCGGTGCTTCAATGACTGGGGCAGTGAGCTCCATGCTGCCGGGGGCCATGGGCTCCGTCATGACGAGCTCCCCTGGGGCGGTTTCAGCCCAGCCGTGTCCGTACACCACCCCTGCGAACCCCTACTCGATGTACCACCACAGGAGCGCAGCTGAACCCTGCGCGGCCATGTCTTCGAGTATAGCCTCTTTGAGGCTCAAGGCTAAGCAGCACACGGGATTCGTGGGGTACTCCAGCGTCAGCCCGGTGAGGTCCTCTTCGGCGGGGCTGTCCGCTTGCCAGTACGCAAGCAGCGGCTTGGGAGTGGGGGACAGGCCTGGCTGAGACCAGGAGCATCCCCTAGGGGTGCACCTGAAGAACGAAGACCAAGACGATTGACGAGGTAAGGAAGATTGGTCGGGAGCTGTCGTAGTGGAATTTTGAGGGCGGCAGTACAGATCTTTCTTTTTTCTATCGGTGCTTCATAGTTGCAATTGGGAATGAACAATTCATGAAAAAATTCAGAGTCACTGACGACTTTCGAAGATCCATAAAGAACTAATCAATATATAGGTTCATAAACCGTAGGAGATTCATTTCGATGACAAAAAAAACATTATGTGAAATTGAATTTAGTTTTCAGTGATCCAGAAATTTTTCAGTAAATTTATCAACAAGAAACAGTTGTAGGACAACATTTATTCAATATTTCCATTTACAGGGTGACACACTTAAAATGAAGACATCCTTTAGCTCGAGTGACAGCCTTAAATCTAGCCTACTGCGTTCACTGCTATTAAATAACGAGACTGGTTATGAAAAAGGGTTTTATCATAAAATGTATTCTACATTCGAAGGCTCCCCTTCAATATACTCCCCTTGCCAAAAACCTTGCAATACGTTTCTTCTATTGATCGAAGCAGTGCTGGCAGTCTTCTTTATTGCTTTACTGCTTCCATCGACTCAAATCGGGTCCCTTTCAAAGCAGATTTTATCTTAGGAAACAAAAAAAAGTCGCACGGTGCCAAATCTGGCGAGTACGGCACGTGTTCGAGCACTGGAGTGCGTTTATCGGCCAAATACCGCTTAAAAGATAGCGTGTTATGAGCAGGTGCAAAATCCACGAGTTGTTCTTCCACAACTTCGGCCGTTTCTTACGAACTCGTTCTCGTAGTGTTGGCAAAACTGGCAAATAGTCTGGTTGACAGTCTAATCCTATGGAACCCATTCAGTCATCACGATACCGTTAATGTAGGAAACAACGATCAACATTGCCTTTAATTTTAATTTGGACATCATTGCTTTTTTGATTATGTACGATTCAGGCGCCTTCCAGTGCATCGATTGCCGCTTTGTTTCAACATCGTATTGTATAATACACGTTTCGTCGCAAGTAGTTTTTCATCAGTCCGGGATCTTCTTCTAACCTTTCAAGGAAATCTGAGCAGACCTGTTGACGCAAGAGTCAGGTTTTTTGGCACCAAATTTGCACAGACTTTTGTCATGTGTAATTCCTCGCGTAAAATTTTTCTAAACGTTTCTTTATCGTCGTTTACAGCCTTGGCAATCATCTGGATGCTCAATCAACGATCTGCACGAACAATTTGGTTGATTTTGGTCACTGTTTACGGAGTTGAAGCAGTGACAGGGCGACCTGGGCGCTGGTCTTCTTGGCTCTCATGATTACACCGCTCAAAAACATGCGCACGAGAAAATTATAGCACTCAGTTAGAGTTTTTCTCAATTCAACGAGAAATTTGAGATTGATACGTGGCTTCTGTTTTTCGGTCCTTGTATATTAATTCGCGTTGATGATACCGAAATTAGTTATTTGAAAAAGTTACTTGAAGATTTATTTTGACCGTACATACCAAATTTCAACGCAAAATTCGAATTTTATTTATTTTTTGTCATTTTCATATTCATGTCCGATTTTTTGTTAATGGTTCTAAATATGACGATAAAAAAAGGATAAATTCCTTATAATGTAGGAATGAGAATGAAAAACCCGATATTCGTTATGGAAAATTTAAAATTTTGATTATTTAGATACTAAAAAGCCACAGACACATCGGTTGAAAATAAATGAAAATTAATGAAGCGAATTCAACAGGAAAAGAAATTAACATTAATATTGGAAGTGAGTTCCAAATTATTTCAATACATTCATTCATTAATTGAAAATCGGATTTGAATATGAAAATTACAAAAATAATTCAAATTTCAGGTTGAAATTCAGTTGAAATTAGGTATGTAGTGTCAAAATCAATTTCCAAGGTTGAGGCTGTCACTCGGGCTAAGTATTACAAAAAGTGCGGCACATAAAGGTCTACGACTGTACCCAAAATCGATTCCCTGCTTTAAAAAATGACTGAACTACAAAATTGTCTTCATCTCAAGTATATCACACTGTATTATTGAATGTTTTTATTGAATCACATCACTCTATTGGATTCTTATCGGTAGAAGTCGGGAATCACCACCACAGGAATTTTCAATTATTCGAATAACAAAACACCACTGATGTGTATCTCGAGAGTTCAAAAAATTATTGTACAGAATTATATTCAACCTAACCATTCGATTAGAAATTATTTTCATAACTCAGTTCTTTATTGAAACCGATCATATTGTTACGGATACCAAAATTTACAGAATGCTCCCTATTCAATTCAAAGATTTAACATTTTTTGTACTGCATCAGATCACTAGAACTTGATTCCATCACGAATGTTCATTTCGTGGTTCAGAAAAGTGAATTTCGATTGCCTATATCAACTCGTTCCCAAATTTTAGTTTCATCCTGAAGCATAGCCTTCATTATTTTGTCATATACAAACAGGCTCATAAAGTTGCGTAAGAAACAACTTTCAACTTTAGTTGAGAAATACAAATTCTGTATTTTTTCAGACAAAATATAATTTTCCTGTTTGTGCATATCATTATTGCTTAAATTTGAAGTGAGTCTTAATAAAAATATTTCATATGTCTATGTCTTTGACAGTGATACTCTTACGATTATATGTACATTCCCAGCAATTAAATTTTCTAGAATATCTTGTACTTCCAAAACTTCTTTCAGTTTTTATTTCAATGTTCTTTTGTTCTTCAATCACGAAACTGAATTTTTTGAACCCAGCACGATTCAATATAGAGAGCTAGATCTACTATTGATGGTAATCAATGTTCGAAAACATAATTCAAATGTGGAGCACCCTGTAGGTTCACAAATTGAGTGGACATAGTTGGAGACTGGCTGTAAATCAAAATATCTGAAAGAACAATTCGTTCTACACTGTAGATTAATGGACTGACATCTATCAGAAAAAATTTCGGATATGCGGTTGTTACCTCGTTCACAGGCAGATGGGGAGATGACAAACACGGTGTTTGTAGTTCGCTTCAGCCTAGTTCGAGAAATGATACTTCGAAAGGAAATCGATTTTCATTTATCGACATCATGATGACGATAGATACTACCTTGCGCTGACGAGTGGCCAAACAGCCCGAAACCGGTCTGCAAGTGTGTTCCAATAATTCAAAATCGATTCCGGCAGTTGTAATGCCAACAGCATATACAGGAATGACTTCAGTGAAGAATCCTGCACTGGCATCTGTCGGATATAATCCTACGCCCTTCGTGGTACTAGCCAGGGGAGTAGTTGTTTTCAGATAAGTATCAGTCCATTAACCTACAGTGTTGGTAATTTGAGAATTTCAGATGATTTGATTCACCCTGTAGGTTTCAAATCTGTTTCACAACAACTGAAAACTGCCGTCGCTGGATAATGAAAAAAAAATGTGCAGTCATTTTCAAAACTTCCGTTATTATCGTAAAATATCTGAGCCCTCAATTTTTCACGATCTCAACATACAGAGCAAGGACCAATATTCCCGCATTTGTCCAATCAGACGCCGCTGATAAGCAGCCTCCAAAATGGCTGCAAAATTTTCGATTGTAATTTGTTGGAAACGAGTGTCATGGTTTTTATCTGATAAATTTATTTTTAGCCTTGTAACGTGACGAAGATAAGGTTCCAAATTTAAATAATTCGCGATAAGGTGCTTAGAAAACACAAATTGTCCATTACTCTACATTTATTGGTTATTCCACATATGAGAAGGGTAAACAGATTTCCCGTTCAATTGTTAATTCTCTGCACTTTCTGTTAAGTCGCTTCGAGAGGAATCAAAACAGAAAGGGGAGGTGATTTTGTTTAACTAGTTTTAGAGGATTTTAGGGATTATGGGGTATATTTTCCACACTGTATCATTCTGAATAATGTAAGATTATGATACAAAGTGCAATATCGAATCAATTGATGATAAAATATAAATAAGCATAAGTTAATGATAATCACTTTCACGGACTGTACTGTTGCCAGTTGTCGTACTTTTTTCAACATATCATCACAAACGCTGAGTTCAAATGTGTACAAAATTGGCAGATTATCCATCATGAAAATACATTCAAATAACCACAGAGAGCAAACTTCGTGCATATTCAGGAATATTCATTGAAATTAATAAGGAATTGACAGGTAATGGTTTCAGTATCATTGCTCTTCCGAGTTTGAAAGCCGTGGATTTTTGGAATTTCTTCCTGACGTTTCACTGGCGCGAGTAGCTAGCTTCTTCAGAGGTTTAACCATCATGGCTTGCTGTCCGATGACTACCTTTTAGGCTTCGTAAAGCGTATTTATGCCTTGTCAGGCCTTGTCAGCCAATTGGCAAATTGGCGCAGTCGGTAGGATTTGTGCAGCGTGAACAGAATCGATTGAAATGAATTATTATTTCTATGCATATTGAATGAAATCTGTGACTCCCAAAAGACACAATGATTCTGTGTTTCAATTCATAAACTTGAAAAAATGTGTACATTCTGAGGAGTCAAAATGATATGACAAGAAAACTGATGAACTTCGTATATCATTCAGCAATTATTCCTTGAAATTCTGATGAAGGAGAATGCTTTGCCAAAATAAGAGAATTTCATTAAATTAATAATTGATTTTTTTGTGGAAAGTAACAAACTAAGTATTTTCGAAATAAAAAAAGATTTTCTTCACATTTCCATTGAAATGAAGGATTAAAATCATTGCATTTGTTTCTTACTAAATTCCTACGAGTGTCAAAATTCCATGAAATGTGGATGATTTGATCGCTAAAATGTTTGAATTAAGAACTTTTCATTTTGTTCATACCTGGTATCAACATCAATGCCTAATAGTAAAAAAAAACTTACATTAAATGTGATAAATGTGGAAAATAATAGAAAAAAATTACCTTTTGAGATTTATTTATGAACAAAATAGAAATTTTGAATTGTTCTCATGCATACCAACTGTAAATGATGTGTTTTCTGAGATACGTTATACAAGAATTTGTCGTAAATAAAAATCCAAACGTATAGTTCTAGTATTCATTGAAAAACAATACATTGAATGTTTAAAAACGCTACAAAATAATACAAATAAAAACCATCCAACCCGTTCTCAACAAAAAAAAATCCGTCTTGGTCGGAAACTGTACAAAATGTATATAAATCTATAGATTTTGTGTCGACTGTAAATTAGATGAAGTACTGGGGTGTGTTAAACTATTAAAAACCTTGTAGAAATTAAATTGAATCGCCCCATATTTTTCCCAAACGACTATTTTTCTGTTCCCAATGTATAAGGTGCCATATTTCTCTGCGGAGACGATTTTTTGTCCCATTAACTCACTTGGAGTATTAGTTGCTCAAATTGATTTATTTTTAATTTAAGGTAATGCAAAAAGTTCTGAAGTTTTTATGTGCTGAGTGAAATATGACTCAAACGGACTGAATTTAGTTTGTTATATTTTCTCGCCAAACATGGCTTATGTGGAAAGATTGCTTGGGACTATACTAGTTAGAAAGGAAAATCAAGCACTTCATAATCCATATATTCAATCATCAAAGCGCTAAAACAATAGTTTTTCAAATATTTTCTGCACAAAACAATTTTACGTCAAATTTTTTGATAACTAATCTCTTGTTTCAAATTCAATGTAGAGGCATACATTGTAGATACATAGTTTTGCCTCAATTGAAGAGTAAACTACACAGGAAACATGACATGATATAAAGGAATGAGCCTTCTGAAAAGTCTACCGTTGCCTTTGTCGAATTTTGAAGCGAAGAAAATGCGAGTTTGTAATGTTCATTTGGGTAATTGTTTTATCAAGTTATAGAATGCTGTGTTGACCATTTCATTTGAAAGTGTCATACATTTTGCTGGAAAATATGCCTTTGTAAGTGAGCAAAACTGTAGCATGTTCAGATACTTGTGTTTTCAAGTATCTACTAGTTTGTCCCATGTACTGTGTTTAGAAACCATTGGAATTAATTTCATTATGCCACATTTTGGTGGCTAATATTGGGTATTCGTGCAGGCTATATGCTATGCTATGCTATGAGGTGATTTGGATATTTCTTCTTCCACAGCATGAAAAAAAATTATAATGAATATCTAAATAAAACAACATGATTTCTGGGATGAATTGACCTTCCACAAATATTTTCTAAACGAATTTTCTCGGATAGGTTTTCCAAAAATTTTTGCTATTTGAATTCATATTAACTTTCAATTTTGTTGAAATATATATATTTGAAATCGCGATTGAAAAATACCGTCAATGAGCGGGCCTGAAATACTCAATCTGAACCCCTGATTATTACTCTATAAAAAAATTTAAATCGGTTATTCTTATTTCAATGAATTTCAATTATGGATGAAAAAATTATTAATGGGATACTAGCGTTTGTGGGATATCTTACATGAATATGTGTCGAAAATGATTCAATATCCAGCGTGGTATCAGCCGGGGAAATAATGTTTCAGGCAGGTATTTACCAGAACCTACGGTGTAGGTAATTGGGAGAGAAACATATTTCAAGATGAAATTATTCATTTGTACAATTATTTTTTAATGAATTCACTTGTTCAAAATGGTTTTCGAAGAATGACCTAGACATTAAAAAAATTCACTATTCATAACCACAGACAATGCAGACGTGGGGAAAAATATTTTTTGCAATTCTTGTCCCAACCAGTCTTTTCCATTTTATTCAATATTTCAGGTGTTGAGCATATTTTCAGCATGAACTGAACTGTCACAACTTCTTGTACTACCTTAATCGAGTACAAATATATAAAATAACCATTGTTATTGTGCCAAATATATTCAATTGTCCAAAGATTTTATGCCAAATCAATTTATTTACTTTGGTTAACTTTCAGGGCATATAGAACGGCTAGCATTCTTCTCATATACTATTGTCAATTCATGAATACCCTTAGATTTTTTTTAATTCCAAGTTCCATCAGTCGGTATTGACAAAATCTCAAATTGTGTTACATTTTTTGTATTCCATGTAACAGTTGTGCTGAAAAGTTAATAGGCCAGCAAAGTAAAAAAATTGTTTTTACAAACGGAAAAAGTGGCTTCATTTTTGAGGAAACGAGATATTAAAATTGCATATAGAACAAGCAATATATTGGGAATGTCAGTTGAAAATAATAAAGAAAAAACATCCATATTCGAGAAATCAGGAGTATATGAATTAAAGTTTGGAACGTGCCCTAAGGTATATATTGGTCAAACGGGCAGAATATTCAGGAATCGAATCCAGGAACATCATACGAGCTATGAAAATAAGACAACAAATTCAACATATTCAAGTCATCTTCTAGAAGGAAATCATATCTTTAACGTTCGAAATTTTGCACATAGAGATAAGGAGGTAATATGCTTTAGGTGATTTTTTGGAGGTAGTCTCAATTACGGTTACCTGTAGTATATGAATATTAAACTAAGAAACAACTTCAAGTATTCAAACCTACTGTTCTAGCGAAACATGTTGCCTTAAACAGTGTTTTTTCTCCAAAATCAAACCTTTATCAACGCACGAAATTCCTTTCAATTTATTTTCTTCGAACTAACAAAAGTTGCTTCGCTCTAAATATTCTATCCCACAAACTGATAGTCCGACAGCTGTGAAATTTGTACACGTGTCTTTTGAAGGTTGAGGTTAACTAAAAATCATATGGATTTCATACTGGTAGCGTCATCTATGTGTTAGCCTACGAACTTCTCAGCACACCTTACATGTTTCTTCAATACCTCAACTGGTTTCTCTGCCGTTCTGTATAAATAAATGCAGGTTTATTGAGATTGTATTGGGCCATTTTTGTAGGCCTCAGGTACGAAGGCTGCACGTGCAATGTAATTATAATAATGTAAAAGTTGAATGAATGGAAATTGTTAATTGATTATTTATATAAGATATCTAAATTAGAAAGTATATAGGTCTCGCCCAAGATTAGTCTCTTTGTACTTTGAAACACGAGAAAGATTTCCACATCAAAGTGCATAGTGATTTTCTTGACAGGGACATGGTGTATATAGGTCCAGTTGTACCAACTGAACTTTTGTGGGTACAAGCGACCCATAGTGATAAACTAAAATTCTGTTGTACCTATTTAATTCAATTATACTCTGCATATCGTTTGTAACTGTTAAAACATTTTCAACCG